TCCTCCTGTAAGTTGTGGGTATTGGATATTGAGTCCCAGCAACTGGAAAGCAACTGAGACAGATATTGACACTACGAGGGGCCTCACTGCTGTGATTATACTCAATCATGTGATTTAGAAGCCTTTGGATGTGGTTCAAGGGAGAAGTTTAAAAAGGTTTGAAAATGCCAACCAGAGAAGTTCTGAAATGCTGTAAGCCAAGCTTGATGAGAGATTCTAGTCAGAGTTCAGAACATGAGAATACTGATAGAAATGTGGACAGGAAGGACCAGGCTTAGAAGGTTTCTGTTGGGAACAAAGACTCCACTGTCAGTTGGACTATAGCTCACGTGTGTTATGTTCTAGTAGGAAATTTGTCTACATTTTGCCCAGGTTCTGAGACTTTTGGCAAAACAGATGAAGGACAGTGGACTAATTAATCTGGCAGAGGGAATTTCAAAGTAGATCAATATTCAGACTGTGGCATGGGAACTGTGGGCTGCCTTTAGCCAGATCTACAATGAAAATTAGGAGGAAACATTAGTGCCAAAATATGAAAAGTTTGTATTTTTAACAGAAAGGAAGCACTTCCTGCACAGTCAAGGATCTGGAGAGCATGGTTGCTGAACAGATTAGTATTTAAAAAGCCAAATACTTTGCATCAGAACAATAGGAAAGATGCTTTGAGGGCATCTCAGGAATCATCAAGACCCCTTGGAAGAGTTAAGTGTGCAAAATTGTAAAGCTTTCCTTTGAAAAGAAAGCCTCAAGAAGCCCAGCTCATTCAAGGCTGTAATGGGAAATGTTTTCCTGGGCTCAGCCATCCAGGCACTCAGAGGCCACTGCAGCTATAATCCAATGGAGCCTGGCTATTGCTCCACCTAGCAGCAGACCTTGGCATCATCCACATGGTGGTGGTTTTACAGGCATGTAGAACGCAGGAGTTCTGGTGGCAGGGAAGCTTCTACCCAGATTTTGGAAGAAGGCCTGGGAAGCCAGGCAGTGTGCCACAGAGAGGGCAGTTTGTGAACCTGTGAGGGTGAAGCCATTCTCTGCAGAGATCTCAGAAAAGTGGAGAAGCCAAGAGTGTGAAACATGTACTGAAGAAAGCTGCAGGCAGTGAGCAAAGCCACCTGGAGAGCAAGGCTATGAAGGCTGCAATCAGTAATACCACAAGGGTGGGGCTGCCCAAGCCCTTTGCAGCTTACATCTCACTACAATTTGCCTGGGTTCTGAACACAGAACTATAGAATTTAATGTTTGCTTTGCTGGGTTTTTGTCTTGCTTTGGTTCCATTTTTTTCTATACCTTTAGGAATGGAAATGTTTACCCTGTGCCATTGTTTGTTAGAAGTATTCACTTTCTTTTTAACTTTTATAGTCACAGCAAGAGTTTGCCTTGAGTCTCAGAGGCAACTTTGGACTTTTCAGCAATGTGAGAACTGTTAAGGTTCTGGCAACTCTTAGAGATGGACTAACTGCATTTTTCACAATAAGATGGATATGGGCCTTTTGGAGGCCAGAGGCAGAATGTTATAGTTAGATCTAGAATGTCTTCCAAAATCTCATGACTTAAGAGGTTAGGTTTTGGGCTGGGGATTTAGCTCAGTGGTTCCACCTCCTGCCTTGAAAGCGCAAGGTCCAGAGTTTGATCCCTGGTACTAAAAAAAAAGAGGTGAGGTTTTTGGAAGGTGACTGGATCATGGAGGCACTACACTCATCAGTGGGTTAATCTATTGATGACATCAGAGCGTATGTGCTGTTAGGAGTGGGGTCTGTTGGAAGAAGCAGGTCACTGGCCTGTGAGTTGGAAGGGTTTATCTCCCTCTGGGCTCTTGAACTCAGGTCCAGTAGTAAGCCTCTGAACAGCACCTACTGGACTTGAGGTGCATAGGAGCATCTCCCTGGAGACTTGACAACCCTAGATCTACTTCCTTAAGGAGACACTTCTTTTGTGTTCAAAACAGTCACCTTCAAGAGTCCCTATCTTTCACACATGCAGACTCCTACCCCTGTGTAAGGAAATGTCAGCGCTGGTTTTAGAAACCAGGGTGATTAGGGTGAGGCTGTTCCTCACTGTGGATGAACCTGCTGATAAAGAGGGTGAATCTCACTCACAATCCGAAGGCTCCCTGGCTCGAGGCTGCCCTGCTGATGGGCACTGGGCCATGTACACAGGGATGCCTAATCCCTGCAAAGGCTTTCATAGGGGCTTTGCTTAGGAGCTAAGGTTGGAGGCCAGCACATGAATGACTAGGCAGAGAAACAATTCAACACTTCTCAACATATCCTTGGAGCACAGAGCATGTTTGGAGAGCTTTTTGATAGTAGAAAAAGAGAAAATTTCATTGATTTCCTAAAAGTTCTATAGCAGATTGAGACATGGTGATTATTCTACTGCTGTCATAGAAAGTCCAATAAATGCTGAGACCGACTGCACCATCAGCCTAATTCTGGCCAGGATCAAAGAGGAGGGATAAAGTACAACTGGACCAGGGGCACGTGGTGTGCTGGCAAAGCTGCCCAGGCTGTCTCCACACCGACCCTCAAGAGGGGCCTGGCACACCCATGGTGGCATGGCTGGAGCAAGTGGATTTAATGATGGCACACCACAGCTAGAGCACAGCTTGCCCTGTGGGACTGCATGATTTCTTGTCCACTTGCTGTTTTTCTTTCTTTTCTTATTGGTAAACTTGGCTTTGTGGGACCAGGAAAGGCTGTCTGTCTGTGCCATGTAGTATGGCAGCCACCAGGAGCACAGGTTGGTGGGGACTCAGAAGCAGGAGGTATCCGCATACGTAATTCAAATTAGCTGAAATTTAAATAGTCACACGTGGCTTACAGCTGTGTACTGTACTAGTCCCTGCTAGAAAATACTAATGATTGCTCGCTAGCCAGTTACCTCATCCTCAGCATCCTTGGAAGGTTTTATTGTCATTTGTGTTTCTCACCTGAGGCTATCAAGTGTCAAAAGGATTAAGCAATGGTGCCAAAGGTCAGAGAGCCAGCAAGTGGTAGAGAAAAATCCAGTGAAATCCAGGAAGCCCAGACCCACTCTCACAGTGACATTGAACTGCAATTGCTCTTCATGCAAAGGAAGCCTTAAAGCAATTCTGAACCTTGGAAAGCTCCAGGCTGTTTGCAAACAGCAAGGAAAGGAAGTGGCTGGATGTGGCACTATCCTTTCAACACACACACACACACACACACACACACACACACACACACACCCCTGGGAAAGCACTTCTCTACTTCTCTTGGCTATGACAATCTAACTTGATCTGTTAAAATAATGTCCATAGTAATTATATCTGACAGCCCCAACTCTGCTTCAAAACTTCTGCCCTAATCAAATACCATCACATGTATTCAAAGCAATATATAAAAAAGCCTTTATTAAACTTCTGCCACATCCTATTATACCTTGGATGAATTATTCTTTCCTGCTTTACCTTTTGCCAACAAGGCAGATTATATTTTCTTTCCCAAATCAACATGAAACTGCACCAAAGATGGAGAATTTGAGATTTCAAAAGAATGATTTGGAAATAGAGGGTCAAAGATGTGTCTTTTTACAAAGGGAAAAAAGTGGGGCTTAAAGGAGCTAATGTGTAGCCCAGTTGGAATGCTTTCCTTGGATCCTAGACAGAATATTTCAGCTTTCTAGGGGTCTGAACTCACTTCATAATCTTATAGCCTCCCTGCAGGTTACTGTGTGTCCCGCTCCAGCCCTCCTGTGCCATCTCCACACAGCTGTTCTGTATTCACGGGGACCTGTGCAGCCCTGAAGGATGCAGGCTGCAGATTCACTGAAAGGAATATCCTTTGGCTCAGCCACAGGCTCTTGCATTGCCAAGGGGGACTAAGATGTACCTTAAGATCACCCTACCCATGTAAAATAAAAGGGATAATGGCCTGATGGGCCACAGACAAAGAGTGGGATAAAACCACAAACTTTGAGTACCAAAGTCTGTCTGAAAAAATATAAGGCAAGTGTGATTATCCTCTCCATAAAGCCCACATTTGAATGAGAGCGCATGGACTCTGCATGAGTGCATAGTGAGATGTGAGAGCCAGGCTCAGTGCATTTCTCACCCACCAGTGATCTTAAACCCTCTCCTTACCTCCCAGGATTACACACCCAGCTCCTGAGACTGGCATTGTATAAACAATGGGAACACAATGGGTATAGCTTAAAGAGGTCCGAGAATTCCTCCTTCCACAGGTCTCTGAGTGCCTCCACTGGAAGGTGGGCTCTGTGTGTCTACCTGGGAATCCAGGGAGCCTGTGTTTGCCCTGACCACCAGGACAGTGCAGGGGACAGGGCAGATGTCTGCAGCCTTGGTCCAGAGAAACCAGAAACTTTTACTTCCTGACTTTCGGAACACTCTCCCTCCCTGGCATCTGCATCCTTGAGCTGCTGTGTTAAGAGGCTGACTAAAAATCACCTGGCATGGTGGTGTACACCTATAATCCCAGCACTCTGGGAGGCTGTGGCAGCAGGATCAATAGTTTGAGTCCAACAGGGCAATTTAAGGACTTATCAAAACCTTTCTCAAAAAATAAAAAAGGGCTGGGGATATGACTCCATGAGAAGACCCTGGGTCCAACTCCATGACCTTGGGACCATCACAGAAGAAGACCACATATAGGTACATGGCCAGTGGTCCTAGATGAGCCTGCCTTTAGTCATTTCTGCCCAGGGGCTGGATGTGCAAGCGTAGCCATCCAAGAAGCAGCAGGACACCATCGAGTGCCCCTTTTGATGCCACTTATAACAGGTGGTCCTGACCTGCAGAGGCATGAGAGACAATAAGACGGTCCTTGTGCTCCAGCCTAAAATTTTGGAGTAGTCTGTTATGAAGTTGTGGATAACTGGGACAGTGTAGCTCTTTCCCTGGGTTCCTCTCCAAAGCCACCTCATTGCTAATTGCTCCTGCTGTGCAATGTAGGTGTCTACTCCTTGAGCAGGAAGTGGCATCCTGTCCACCCCCAGTCACCCCATCGCTGCCCCACACCTACCGATGAACCCTGAGGATGGTGGGTTGGGCTGGATCTTCTCCTTTGTGTTCTCTTGGATAATGTCCCAGAGCTGCCATATAAATTTAGGATGCAGAATGTAAAATGCTTGAGCTGGGTTTCTCTGACGGTGCTGAATATATGGAGTGAAGAGGTTGTAATCTGGCTTCTTATACCACTAAAGGAAAAAGAGCATCTAGTGAAGGACACGCCATGACAAGGAGACAGGGCAGCTTGTGGGTCAAGAGGCCAAGGGGCCAGGCTGGGGCTGGAGGGATGTAGAGCCCAAGACTCATCTCCACCAGAGACCAGACATGCTTGCTTAGAAACACATGCAAAAAGAGACCAGGGTTCTGGCCCTGGCAAGTGGAAAATGATAGAGATGGCCTGGATCCAGGTCAACAGATGTTTCCTGCAAAGGGCAGTACAGTGGACACCTGAGGGTCAGCAGGTCATATGGTGTCTGCAACTCCAGCTTACCTCTACCACAGCGTATGGAAGCTGCTGAACAGTACCTATGGACAGGAAGGCATGTTGTGTTCTAATAAAACTTTATTTATAAAGACAGAAGGTGGCCAGATTTGGTCCCTGGCTAGAATGTGCTGATCCCCAGGTATAGAGTACATATTTAAAAGTAATTTCTTCAAATGTCAGCTTGAGTGACAGAAAGCACCTCAGTGCAGCCTGGCACAAGGTGTAACCTTGGAGCCTGACCACAGCAGAGACAGGGGCACAGGTGGTAGAGGTCTTCTTGCCTGGACTGGTAGACACCCTGGGTATATGCTCCTTCAAACCTCTGCATGTGTGCACACACATTTATCACAGGCGCATTATGTGGAAAAGCCAGCAAGTTTGGCTTCAAGAAAAAAGGGGAGAGGTTTGGCTCATGGAGGTCAGTGAGCCCCAGGCTCTCTTTAAGTAGATGCCGTAGGTATACGATGGGCATGTATTCAGATCCCAATTAATAATCCAGTGACAAGAAGGTTCTGTGGCTTTGATACCTTTGGGAATGACTAGATGAGAGTTTCTGTGACAAATGAAGCGCCAGGCCAGGTGGCACTGGGAAGGATGGAAAAGGAATGTGGGACCAGGACAGGAACATGTCTTTCCCCAGCCCTTTCTCCCTCCCATGGCAGTCCAGCCTAGAGCAAGGGCCATGACCTTGTGTCTGGGCACGGTTCCCATGCACACCGATCAGATGAGCTTGTGCTGTGCCTGGGGCTGGGTAGCTGGGTGCTTCCAACAGAGGAAGAAACAAGGTGAACATCCAGAAGTTCATAAGTGCAGCCAGCTCACAAACAGCAAAGGAGCTGCCAGTATTCACACCTGGGAGGCTCGGGTTGGGAAGAAACAGTCCCAACCCACAGTTGATGCTGGATTCTCAGTGGAGGTGCACAGGAGAACTAGCCAGACAGCATTCTCAAAAAATGTACATTGAAGCCCTGTCTTCCATGCCTGGAGATGGGGCTCAGGCAGATAGACTTTGAAAAATGCTCTGCAGATGCCCCTGATGTGTGCCTCTGTGTAAGAGCCATTAGCAATCACGCAAGGTGTATGGCCAGCCCCAAGCTAAAGACAGACAGTAGTCCTCACTCCTAGAGGGACCCATGCTCTCTTACATAGCTCTCTCAGCTTGTCACCCCTTGATGCAGCCAAAATCTGTCCTCCACATTCGATCTGAGAAGGTTGAATGCTCTCTGGTCCCAGCAAACCAAGTTGAGGACATTTGAAGAGTGGACAGCATCTCTTACTTGGCTAACCTCATCCATCTTTCCCAGCCTCATTAAAAACCCAAGCTCCCTGGCTTTGCATTTGAGTATCCACCAAAAGCAGCCAGCAGCTTGCTTAGCTAGGTGACCATTTGCCTGCAGGTCCCAAATACATCCTGCTCGTATTTTGATGGCCGCCAATAAACTTGTTGCAATTCTACCTCAGAAAATCTACCTTTCAGAAGCCAAGGAGAAATACTCAAGGAAAGACTGGAACAGGCTCCATGTGAGTAACAATGAGCTGTGGCTGCTCAAAGTTTAGATTTTCTTGCCAGCCACTTCCAGTTTTATTTCCAAAGGTCCTGCAGTCACTGTGAGTGTGTGTGATGTCATCCTGTCACAACGGAAGTTGAAACTGTGAGTTTCAATGGAAGTGAAGCTGTGAGTTGAAACTCCTACCCCTCAGTGTAACTGGGAATTTCTGAGCGTTCAGCGACGCCCCATTTCCACCCATTTTTCCAGCACAACAGCCGTTGGAGAGGACATTGAGTATGCTACTGTTGATGGGCTCCACTCTGCATGCACCCACATTGGCCCAGCCACTGGCCTTTTTTCTCTGGGCAAGTCAGTCCCTATCTTGGTCCCATGACTCATAGATCAAAGGCATCCTGGACCTGAGGTGGGACCATCAAGGAAACACTCACCAGGTAGAGATTGGAGGAATAAGGAGCTGGGTCCCAGGCCACCAAAATGACATCTTTATATAAAGAACTGTCAATGAAGTGATAGCTGGGGTTGGTCAGAATCTGCAAAGACATAGAAAACATCACGTTAAAAACTCTGCTGCTTCGAAAGCATATTCTAGAAACAGGTGTAAATTAAAAGGAGGCATCAGAACAAGAAGCAAAGCACCCAGGCTCTCTGATCTCTGTGGGAGTGAGAGAGGCCAGCACAGCAGGCAAAGGCACCTGGAGATACTCTTCCACTTTCACCAGCACTGTACTGTGTCTGGAGGTCCCAGCTCCAGCCCGGAAGGTGTGACACCCCAGTACCTCAGGCCCTGCCTTCTATACAGAGCCGTATCACATGGTCAGGAGACAGGGTTGCAGGTGTGGACAGTCTGAGTCCTGAGACAGTCCCCAAAGGTCAGCCACCATCCTCCCTCCCTGGCCCACTCTGGCTCCTGTAATTGGTCAATTTCACCTGCCAATCATCTTTATAAACTCTCATTTGGGGATTTTCATGATGATCAACATGCACTTTTCCATGTTACTTTTTCTGAGATCAGGATGAATCTTACAGGGGACATGGATTTTAACACGGTGGGTTTCTCCTCCTCTCTCAAGAGTTATTATCAAATGGATGGGCAGATCTTCCAGCCAATGACAGCCTCAAATTAAGCAGGTGTGGGGACTGTTTCTCTCCTCCCTGGAGGCAGCCCGGCCCAGTGAACTGTGCAGGGAGCTGACCCTTTGTTATGGGACAACTCATCAGAAATCACTGACCACTTCATTTTTCCTATATATTTCTGAAACTCTAGAAATTTTTGTGGTTTGTTCTCAGAATAATTCTGCCATAAATTTGGAGGACATTCTTATCAAGAATATAAGGCAATGGGGCACTTTCATTTTTCATTAAACAACACTGTTCATTTTCAAATTTCCAAGTAACTAAGGCATCCATGAACCCTCGGATTTGGTGCCTTTATTCCCGCCCCCCCCCTTTAATCCCTGCAATGTTTTTCCCCAGTTTGGAGATTTAACCCAGGGTCTTTACCCTAAGCTACATTCCCAGTCTTTTTTTAAAGCTTTTTGAAACTCTGGGACAGGGTCTTACTAAGTCACTAAGTTGCTAGGCTGGGCTGAAATTTGCAACCCTCCTCCTTCAGCTTCCCAGAGTGATGGGATCACAGGTGCACGTCACCACGCCAGCTAATCCTTGCACTTCTTGTTATTTCTTCTGTTTGCTGCTTTTCCTAGGGTCACACAATGCAACCTGGAAAGTCTATGATTGTAAAAGACATGCGTCTTTATGTGTCTACCCTGATTTTCCTTTTAATCTTACTAACTTCTTATTTATATTTCATCACCTTCTTATTCCTCTGCGCTTTTCATCATGGAGTCTTTATAATTACAACGCCCAAGGATAGGCAAGTATGATGGTCATGGGTAACCAGGCTAAACTATTTACCTATGAAATGCACAACCAGGAGACCAGTCCATCCTCTCACCTGGGAGTTGATGATGCGAATAGTGGTTTTATTTCCAACATCCTTCTCATAACCACGCGTAGGAGCAGAGTTAAACCTCAACACTGCATCGTGAGAATCTAAGGGCACACAAGTGACAAGCTTACTCTTTTACTCTGTAGGATCACATAATCTAGGAAAAAAAACTTTAAAGCAAACCTTTCAATACCCGAAGCTACTCAGACATGGACAGTAAGGATAAGATATCCACACACACATTTTGCAGATAATTTACTGTTGATTTAGGATGAGCTCTTGGCTCAGGAGATTGACATCAAAACACACAGCTGCACATGCATGATGTCATGTCCATCTGAACAGACTGCACATCCCAAGGTGTCCCCAGAGCACATGGCCTAGTTACGCTGCTGCCACCTCAGTCTCTGTGAGTACTCTGCGACGCTCTGTAATGAGCAACATACCCAAGAATGCATCCTCAGAACCTGTCCCTGTGTTAAGTGAGGGAGCAGTGACTCTGTGCATCTGTATAGAAAGGCCCCAATCACAGTGGGTCTCCTAAGTTACACTTAGACACTGTATCTTCTCACATTCTTTATGAGTGACATTCTTTATGCACCATTCCCAAAGTGCTGAACTGAACTGTGGAAAACAGGTGGATCTACAGGGGCAGGTGCAGGTGCTGGGCAGGTGGGGGTGCTCCTTGGGGTCCCTGCTGTCCACAGAGCCCCAAGGTTGTCAGGGTGAGTCTGAACTGCACCAGGGCTGCTGCCCTCGCCGAGGTCAAGTGCATCTCTCACTGGGTGAGAACCACCACCATCTAGTCCACATTACTACTTTCTGCCGAAAGTTTTTGCTTAAAAAGAAAGCTAGCCTCAAGGGCATGGTGGCACACACTGTTAATCCCAGCACTTGGGAAGCTGAGGCAGGAGGATTGTCAGCTTGAGGCCAGCCTGGGCTACACAGTGAGGCCCCGTTTCTGAAGGAAGAAAGGAAGGAAGGGAGGGAAGGAGAGAGAGAGAAGGGTGAAGGAAGGAAAAAAAGAAAAAGAAAACCAGTCTTGATTTCCATGAAGCTTTCCACCTGACTCTCCACCTGGAGGCTGGGGCCATGTCATAGCTGCAGGGCTCTCTGCACTGCCCTGCACCCCATGGTCCACCAAACACGATCTGCACCCCATATCTACAGAAGCCTGCACCCCACTCACAGCTGGACAGCCCAGTGTCTGGATCCTCTGGCTGCCATCTGACAGGTGCTGTGGAAACTGGGTTCCCTGTCATGGGTGCCAAGAGGAGACAGAAAGTGAAGGTGGAAATTGGGGTGCAGGTGATGAGGTTGAGGGTGGAACTGGGTCCCCTTCCCTTAGAGTAGGCTGTAAACATACTGGTGCCACCATTCCCAGGAACCAGCCTGAAACCAGCACGAACCAGTAGGGAGGGACTTTCTGGGCACCACCTTGGCCTTGGACACTCCTGCTCACACCACATTTAAGCTGCAGTGATGCCCGTGCCACGGAGAGAGGAAGAAATGCCACAGACACATCTACTGTGCCCACCCCACAGGCCCTGCAGACAGGCCACTCTGAGGTCCTGGATCCCTGCTGGTGTCTCCGTCCCCAGTTCTCATGTGGAAACAACACATGTGCTCACTGAGTCACAGAGGGAATCTCTATGCATGAGCCTGAGCCCAAACCAGAGCTCTGAACTCAAATGCAATTGGATACCAGTGTTGAGCATCACACTCGTTACACTTTGGGAACACAGTGAACTCATGAAGGGTGCCTGGCTGAGCCAGCAAAACCCTCCAGTATTCTTTTAGGGGAAATTTTCCCAGTTAATAAGCCATGACCCAAAGGCCAAGTCTGCCGCTGCCCTGTTGCAATAAAGACACCCAAAGTGTGACACAGACACAGGCCCTGTGTGCACCCGGTCTGCAAGGGCTGAACTCAGCAGTGGGAATGGAGACCCATGGAAAATCCTTCTACTCGCTGTTTACAGAGCCGAGGGGATCTACGCTTGGTATAAACACTGCCAAAACACCTCTGAACTTCCCATTAGGGGAGTTGCTTCACATCATAAGTTAAGCACTTGCTCACAATTTTTTTCCTGGTAATGAACTGCTTTATTATTTATTTTTATTAAATAGTGTACTCAATACTCTATCGAAAAACCCAATGATATTTGAGCTAAAGCATTAGATTACACAAACAGTAGACTTTTTAGCTTTAGGGCCCTTTTATGAAAAAAATGTTGGTAACATTTTGTTAGAAAGTAGAATGGAAAAATTTTAAATGTTCACATATTAATTTATCTTTAAATAACATTTTAATAAACATAACTATAGTTTAAAAAACAGTGAGAAGGCTGGCACTGCTTTAAACTCTCTCAAGCTCGGCCAGTTGGCTTTGTAGACAGTTGGTATCTCCTCTTTGCTCCATGCAGATGTTTGCTGCAATGCGTTGCTTTGGCTGCGGTGTGGGGAGCCTAGGACACAGCTCCTGAGAAGGGGCTATTTTAAGTGTCCTCCCAGACAGCCGAGAACACTCTCCTTTGTTACTTCTGCAAAACTTGGCAAATGCTACTTGCTAAGGGTTGGTTGCAATATGGAATCTGAAAAATAAACCAATGAGCTGCCTTTTCCTAATAAACTGTTAACTCCAGACTTAATTAAGCAGAAAGCAAGGGTCTGATGCCACCCCTGCGCCTGCACCCCCATCCCAGTGATCTTCTTCATAGAGAAGAACTCCTCAGTTCACTTGTCTCTACGCTAAAGGGCTTCCAAAATGGGAATTTTTAGAAAATTCAAACAAATGGGTGAATGGGTACAAATCCAAGAATCCTACTAGTTTTGCTACATGAAAATCCACTCTTAAAATCTTGGTCTTAAAATGGGTCTTTCACTCATGCATAATTTTGTATTATGGAGCAAAGATCATTTGAAAATTCTCCAGTCAGTAAGTTGGCCATATCTTTCAAATATTGGTGCATTTCTTTATCAAGTATCAAAAAGCCTCACTGACTAACAGCCTCTTGGATTCTGTTAGGTTTCAAGGACGGGTAGCTTCCAAGCACATGGTTAAAAGCTTGAGTTTTATCACTGGCAACAACTACTATCAATTATTTTCCTACAGGTGACAGGCTCACCTAATTCCTTTTTGAGCAAATACCTGTCGAATAGCCAAATGTGGACAAGCAAACACATCCAGAAGTCATTTCCCAAGTGAGCTGGCAAGGAAGTGCTTCCTCTCTCTTCCCTTTGGTCACCCAGAACCTGACACTTGTGGGCTCAAAGGTCGACCATTATGTCTTCTGTGGCATTACAGATCATTACAGGCCTTCTGTAGCAAAAGGCACCCTCTACCTGGGATGCATTTGGGTGAGAAACACCCTGGTGGCCAGTACCCCTGCCATGTCTTCAGCTAAGGAAGGAACCATGTGATCCATCATCACTTCTGCATTCAGGATGCAGAAGCCAAAAGGAAGAAGGACAAGAGCCCTGAGCATCACTCCAGAGCCAGTTTTCCCTTGTGGACCTGGAAAGAGTCCCCGGGGCCCCTATCTGGATTTGAGTGGCTCGAGACAAGCCCTGAGAAGTCAGGAAAGGAGAGGGGGTGCCAGACAGCCAGGGACTCTGGGTTCCGAGGAGTCAGCAGCCAGGCCAGGGAAGAGGCAATGGCCCTGTACTACCTGGCCACAGCTCTCTGGGGAGCCATGCTGCCTAAGTAGTGGCCACAGAAGGATCATGTCCCTGAAAGCCTTGCAGCACTGACATGCCCACTGTTTACCCTCCTGTGGAGAGGCCACTGGCCTCTTCTAGAGGTGGTACCAGTCTGCAGAGTTCAAAGCTGTAGGGCAGAGCTACGGAGCCTTGTGCCATGCCTGGTGAAGCTGCAGGAGGTGTCAGAGCTGAGCACCTCTGTGTAGGCTGGTTCGGCTGTGGGAGCCTGGCTGGGCACTGCCTGGCAACTCAACAGCAGAGGCCAAGCTGTCCATATGCATTGTACACAGGAGGAATGAGTGGCACAGCAAGCATGAGGGGTCCAGCGAAGCCCAAGGCTGGAGAAAACGTTGCCAGGGCAGGCTGTGCTGGTCTTCAGTACAGGAGCCAAGGACATCCACCCCTTGAAGATCACTCCTGCCAGGTGGTGCCAGGCTGGGGGCCGGACACACTGAGGCAGTGCCCTGCCTTGTCCATACCCTGCACCCTTCTGCCTTCCTAGTCTTCTGTCAGAAAATGAGTAAGACTGCAATGGGCACCTGTGATCAGGGCCTCAGTGATCACCTCTCCAATGCCCCAGCACACACAAGACTGAGTTAGACCCCAGCAGTGAGGCCCCCTATCCTGGGCCAGGTGGTAGTTTACATTTCTAGGGACCAGTCTGGGGACAGAAGTCATGGTCTGCCTGTCCTTGTGACTATGGGACACTAACTGGTTGTCTGTGAGTGGAGCAGCCAAGTGTCCCTGAACCTAGGCAGCACGTACTGAGCATGGAGCAGTCTCTGTCTGCAGGAAACTCCCTGGAGCTGGGCCTCTGGTGAGAGCTACTAGGAGATCCACTTCTGTACAATGATGCACAAGGGCATTTCTGTGCTGCCTGCCCAGCTCCTCTGCTCTGTCCTGCCTGCATGCCTGCAGGTTCTCTTACCCTCCCATCACCCTGTGCTACTTCTCTGCTTCCCTAGTGCCAGCCTCCAGTCCAACTCGCACATCTGGCGCAGCCTTTCCTCCTTCCTCCCTCTGCCCAGCTGCCACCCTCATGGTGACTCATGACTCCAGCGCTTTCCTTCCTCCTCTTTCTGGGATGTGGGCTCGTCTGTGTACAGTCTGGATCCCCAGACTGCATAGAATTTGTAGGTTGTGCCTGTAGCTTATCCATCTTTGTGTCCACACAGGATCTGGAGGGGAGTTGCTACCGTACTTGCTGAATGGCTGTATGATCAGCTTTCTTGACCACTTTAAAGTAAGGTAGCAAGACGTGCCATACCCTAAGCTCTTCCCAGCAACCACTATGGGTCCCCACGCCTCTTCCTCCATCTCCTGCCTCCTGTTTCCCACCCACATGCCAGTATTCACACGCCCAGTATGCAGACTAGTTCCTTCCCCTCCCATGGAGGGTGTCCCCCCGCCTTCTGACCAGACTTCTGTCCTCTGGAGGGCGCGCCCACAGAAGTGGGACTTCAGCACGGACCTCTTGGCTGCAGCCCTCATCAGGCCATGAACTTGGCAAGTCCTTGATCTTCACATTCCTGATTCATGGGCAGATACTGAGGGGCCAACCTGAGTGTGGCTACAGCAGACCCAGTGCACAAATTTGTCTTTACTGTGGAAGCCACGAGGCCTCCTGGGTTTTCAGGAACCACTGCAACCACTGGGGACTGAACAGAGGGGCATCACCTGGCCCACAGTAATGCCAACCTATGGAAAGGAAGGCCTTTGCTTTTACAATTTATGAGGGGTCTATAGTTACATGTCCTGAAAATGGTAGGTACCAAATCTGATTCTAGAGAACGAGGTAGAGCAGGAAAGAGGGTTTTCAAACACTTCTAGGCTTGATCTTCATTTGGAATTTTACAGTTCCCACCACGAAGCCTCACAGCAGTGCATACAGCCTGAGTGGAATCTGGAAACCAGAAATAGCAAAAACCCAACTCTAGCTTTTCATGTTCCCCACAAACACAGACTTCCCAGTGTCATCTTTCAAACTCTCTTCCAACTTCAGAGTCATTTCAAAGGCTCTGGACAGGGATATTTATGCAGGAATAAAGAGTAAGGGAATTCTTGGCATGCAGGAGCAGCCCAAACACTGTACATTTACGATGCAGAGGAGTTTAGAATAAAACCAAACCAGAAGCGAGTTACTGCCTGCTTCACAGCATCACTTAAATTCCTCCTCTACATTATTAATATTGGCCCCAGAATGAGGAAGAACCACGCTGTGATTCCACCCTGGGGAGCTCTAAACCACTGCTCTTTCCTAATAAACTGCAGGCACTCTGCTCTGCTCTGGGCTTGGCTACAAGTGTGGCAACACGTGGACAATGTCATCATGAGCCTGATGTAATGTCAGCAGAGACTCGGGGACCTCGGGCCACGTCATCTTAGTTTCTCAGTGAAGAAACTTCCCATTCAGCCTCCTTGCCAGGAATGTGAGTGGAAGTCTGCTTTCTCAGCCTGCCATGGCAGTGTCTCCTATTCCAAGACAGTCTCAGAACATCATCAGCCTCTCTTCAAGGACACAGAATACACACTTGTGAAATGAATGAATTTCACACCTAGGCAGTAACAGGGTTCCCTGGGAGAAGTTGCCAAGGTGTCCAGAACTGCAGCAGGAGAGAAGAACTTGCAAGGAGAAATGGGATCCCTCTGTCAAGGAGGGGAGAGTAGGAAGGTAGAGCAGGTGTGATCCATGGGAATGGAGCCCCTGCCAGTCCCAAGAGTGCCCTGTATGGGGACTGTGCCTCTGCCTTGCCCAGCCCTTCAAACAGAAGACACCATTGTCCACAGTCCACGTGAAGACTAGAGCTGCCCAGGCTGTGGTGGTGGTGTTGGTCAAAGAGATGTCGCTGGGAAGGTCTGGTTTTGGATGTGACCCACACCCCTGACTTAAAGAAGAGCTATACTTCCACACAGCAGGTGGGCCTCATCCTGTCAGCTTTAAGGACTAAGGTAGGAATGTCCTAAGGAAGTATTCTGCTTTAAGAATGCCACAAAGCCTCTGCCTGGGTTCTGTCTCTGGGCACACTGTACACATTCTGAACCTGCACACTGACCATCCCTGCCCAACCCCTTCCCCTGAGTCTCTCCATCTCTCTATAACGAACATATACCAGGCTCTGGGAGGCTTTGGAGCCAGTCTGGCCAGGACAATAGAGACCGCGGCGTGACACGCGGTTCCCTGTTCTTAGGAGGCCCCCACCGCTTGCCCTAGTGGGGATCCAGAGGTCTGATGCGAGGCTGGGAAGGCGCACCCCATGCAGCCCTGCTCTGGTCTCCTAGGAGCCCAGGACTTGGGCTCGGATTCTGAAGGACCAGAATCCTCATAGTGCATGCTCCCTCTGGGTGACAGCAGATCGCCCAAACACCTCCTTCCTTCCGTCTCCCGTTGGCTGCTCCCTGTTTTCTGGGCTCTGAGGGGCTCTCCGGACCTACTCACGGAGCTCAGCGCATGGTGTCTGTTGGAGGTGACTGGGGACAAGCACAGTGGAGAGGACCAGGAAGACCAAAACACAGCTTGGGGACCACACTCCTTGCCCTGGAACCTCTAAGCCTTGCCCCAGCTCCCTGCCAGTGACCTCTAGGCAGGCCCGCCCCGCCCGGACACCCACCTATCTCTGCACCCAGTGACGAGTTGAGGATGGCGCCTGCCGACATGACCACGGCGCAGCTGCGCAGGCCGCGCGGGTGCAGCTGGCTCAGGGCGGTGGCTGGGACCAGGCTCCGCCACCCGAGCGCGGCGAAGGGCGGCTCGGTGCCGTCCAGGGTGCGTGGGCGCGCGCGCCTGAGCGCGCACAGCAGCTCGGCCGGGGCCCGGCGCAGCGCGCGCCGCCCGCGGAACTGCACTCCGTGCTTGTTGGCGCGCACGTAGTCGCGCATGGCCTTCTGCAGGCGCGGGCTCAGCATGCGCGCAGACGCCTCGCCTGTCCACAGCCGCCGCAGGAGCGCGCCGGGCAGGGGCGCGGACGGCCGGTCCTCATCCAGGCCTCTTAATGACAACGACACGCGGCTCCTGGCCGACTGCCGGGCCCTCTTCTGAGCGCGCCGGCTGGGGACCGGCCCCGAGGACCGAGAGTGTCCCCGCCGGGAGGGCTGGCCGGGGGAGGGGAGCCCCGGGAGCCCCAGGACCCCCAGCGCGTGGCTGTACCACCCTGGCTCGCCGCCTAGAAAAAAGTAGTCGTCGTCCTCCGAGTAGAAAGCGCTTTGGGATCTCCTCCCGACCTGAGAGGAGAAGAATTCGTCCTCATTTCCAGTGTCATCCTGGGTCCAGACCGCTTCCGGCCAGTCCGCGGGCGCTACGTGGACCGGGCCGACTAGGCGTCCACGCAGCGCGGTCCGGGGTGGAACGGGCTCGTGTGCGGCGCCCATGATGGCGCGCTGCTTGCCCTGCACCGGCAGGAGCCGCCGTGTCTCTAGGAAGGACAGGGAGCTAGGTGCAGGCTCAGCGGGATTGCTGTCGGTGAAATAGATGAAAATGGCCAAGAAGAGGAGCCCCCACGCAAATATTCCGAAGAGCATGCACTGCCTCCATTGCTTCAAATGTGGTTTCATGGCGGATCTCTGGGGTTAGCGTCTGTTCCCAAAGCCGCAGGGGCAGGCCGAGGAACCTGAAAAAGGGACAAGAGCTTGGATTAGCCAACACCTGGACATTAGCGTAGGGCGCTTACAGGGCATCCGAACCCAAAACCACGGGGGATGGCTGGATTCAGGGTCAGAGACCTCTAGACCACTCCAGCCAGCGGTCTCACCACCTCTGCTGGGTCTTGGGAGAGAAGAACCCTCAGCAGGTGCCAGACAGGGCCCACCTAACAAGCGATTGCATGGGGGCTACAGAATTCCAACTAGGCAAACATCTCTCCTGAGTAGTCTTCCAAAGGCCTCGAGCCTATCTGTCTTCTAGCAGCACCCCTGTGCATTTATGTCTGGGGTGACAGCCAGGTCTGACTCAGGATGACCTCCTCAGGCCCAAGGGTCACCAATGACACTGAATGAAGCAGTGCTCTGGTGACCATGTTTTCTGGCAAGTGTTAGGCCAGGTATGTGCCCGTGGACTTCAGTGGTGCCCCCAAATATCACCCTTCTCCCTGTGCAACTAGCACAGGGTCACCAGCCCCAAGAAATAAACATGGAAGAAACGATCATAGCAGCTCACTTGCTGTGTGCCAGCCCTCTACTTAGCATGTGTCCTGGGCTATCTCATTTGGCTTTTTCAGCATCTAGAGACTTCTGCTATATCCATTTTCTAGATGAGGAAACTGAGGCCCAGCCAGGTTAAATAACTCACTTAAAGCCACAGAGATAGCAGACAGCAGATAATGCAAACCCATCTGCTTGATTCTAGGGCTCACAGTTTAAACACTAAATTCATAGTCCATCTGCTCATCCTATCAACTGAAGTTCTAGTTCCTAAATTAGGTTCCTCACACTGTCTGTGATAAAGCATCATTCTTCCCCAAATCATCACTATCTGATATTTTTGTATTCCCTTCTGTGCCCGAATGTCCTGGCAGTGTCCAAGGCTGTAAAAGTTTCTAAGTAGTTACTCTGAGGCTCTGCAGACATCTTGGTGGCAATCAGTGATGGGAGCCAGGGCTTCAAGCTGCAATGCCCAACAAGGTCTAGAAGCTCTTTCCCGTGTTTCAAGGTATCCAATAGAATTTGGAAAATTACCCTAACAACTTTTCTGTTTCTACCACACTGAAGGTAATCGTGACACTCGTTACCCAGAGTCAGCGCTATCATCCCCAAGACTGCCCTCACTGCCAATGCCTACTGCCTGTGGGGTCCCCAGGCCACCCACAGTCTAGTTGATGACTTAACACACTTCAGCTTTGGTAATTTGTTGGAAAGACTAACAGAAGTTAGGAAGATGCAATACTTAGGATTACATTTTTGTTGTAAAGCATATATATTAGCTTTCCTGTTACTGCGACAAAATTCCTAACCACCACAACTTGAAGGAGAAGTTTATCAGCTTATAGTTTCAGAGGCCAGCCGGCTCCAAGGGAGAAAGAAGGAAAGCAGAGAGCAGGGGAAGAGACCAATAGGAAGGAGCAGGGACCAGATACAGTCCCTATGTTCATGCCCTGCTGATCTGCTTCCCCCTACTAGCCCATTCTCCTAAGGACACATTCTGCACAACAAGGTTAATCCAATTGGTGAGGTCAGTCCAGTAGGGTTGACAGTCAAGATTAACCAGCACAGGGTGCACACAGGGTGAAATCTAGAGGGTACAGTTGGAATCTGGGTGCATGTCCCTCCTGGCACATCACAAAACTACCAACCAGAAGGCTCCACTCAGCTCTGATGCCAGAGTTTTACTGGGGTTTCATCATAGGGGCATGATTGAGAGACTTGTTGGTCATGTGACTGAGCTCCATCTCCAGGGCCCCTCTCTTTCCTTGAGGCCAGGCTGGGATAAAGGTACAACCCTAGAATTTCACCTGGATGCTCTTTCTGTGGATCAGTGCCCAACCTGAAGCTGTCCTTGGGTCCATAAGAGGACCCTCATTAGGACAGCAGGCACCATCGATTGCTCAGGAAATTCCTAGAGATTTGGAAGCTCCAGGCCAGGGCTGCAGCCACATATTTAAAGAATTGTCTTCCTGCTGTAGCTGGGAATTAGTATCACCTGGTTTCCTGTACTCCTTTAGAAGGAAAGCAAGTTTATGCTTGCAGCATTTGAGAAACAAGGTGAAGTGTGTGCAGAATGGAGGGAGGTTAAACAACAAAAACAAAATCTTGAGCTGTTAGGAAGGAGCCGAAAACCTTTGGCATGTGGGTCAGTGTACCACAACATGCAAAGGAGGGATGTCTTGGTTTGGTGGCATCAGGAAGCTGCAAGGGACCCGCTGAGAAGGAAAACCTGCTAAATAATCCTTGAAGGTTGCTGCTGATCAGATACAGATTTCTTTATGTGAATGTACCTTGTTCCCAGCAGAAAAGATGGGCAGCCTCACTCATCAGGGGAGGAGGTGGCAGCCTTGATAGAGAGGGGGAATGTGAAGAGCATGGCTGGGGACAGCAGAAAGGAAAGGACAGGGGGCGTGCCTGGGTCCAGGGCCCCAAGACAATTTGTGCTTTAGGAGGTTGGCAGAAGGGATTTGTGCACCTTCTGAGCTCCACAAACGGGTGCATCACCCAGTACAAGGGATGATGGCTCCTTGTGAAGCATGATGCATCAGGGCTCCCGGCATGGTAATTATAGAAAGGAGTGGGTTTTCTGCCTCCACTCGTGAAAAGACTTCAACTTTTCATCATCCCAAAGCCTTTGCTGGAGCTTCTGTAGCTGCAAACCTTCTGTTACTAATTAAGGGAACATTTCTCCAGACGGATTAAATCTCAAGGCAACAGCAAATCCTCTGATAGCAGAATGCTCCAGAAATCACTCCAGGTAGCATGAGTCTCAGTCACCCACAAATCTGTAACAAATCCAGGGCAGAGAGACAGGGGACATCATCAATGCTAAAGCCCAGCAGACCTGTCCTCTTCTGGAAAGGACCACACAGTCTAATGGAAGGTGTGGCTGAGGAAGGGAAAGCACCTTTTCCCTAATACAGTACATCTGAAATATGGTAATGACACAGCTTAAGCAAAGTCATCTGTCACACTCGCTGCCATGCCCTATCATTAGGTGCTGTAATAGAAATGGCACTGGGGAGATGTAAGGGGCCCATCAGGCAAATCATCTGTCCCCAGGTGCTCATGGAAAGTGCTCCCTGACCAGACTCCTCGTGTTTTGTGGACTATGGTTTAAGTGACTGAGGCTCCCCTGGGAAGAGGTTGGGCAAGGTGATCCACATACCAGGTGCAGAGTGGCTTTTTCTTTCCATAGCACTTCTAAGGTTCTGATCTGGCAGCAGGAAGGTGCTGATGCCCTGTGGATGCTCTCTGCTAGCCGCTACCCTTTCTTCCTTCCCCACCTTTTCTCCTACTTCTCTTCCCTGTGTAGCCAAGTTTCCAGGACCCACCTGTTTTTGCAGGCAAAATCACCCCCCAACACACACTGTGCCCAAGAGTCCACTCAGAGGGTCTAGCAGTGCCCAAGCCTTGAACACTGAGGCCTCAGCCAGGGAAGGAACCACATTCCTCCTGGATGTCCAGACAAGCCAAGGAGTGGTGAAATTCTCTCTCCAGTTGTTCTGAAGGAAACCATACTTTGCAAACAGCACAATTTATCACCAGTTGTCAGATGAAATTATGAAATGTGAACCCTGCCGCCAACACACAGTACAGCACAGCAAGGTTTACTGCAGCCGGCTTCTCCTTTTCTTCAAGGGCAAAGAGAGGTTAATTTTAGGCCGTGCTACTTTAATGATGTCCCTCTCAAGCCCTGCAGTCCATGAATTTTATCACCAGTTTTCTTGAATAGAGACTTTTTCTTTTAAACACACATTGATGGGTGTATGTGCTATACCCACCAGCCGACTAGGTTTCCTGTGGGTCTGAGAAATACTTGTGGATTTGTTTTCTGTGTGTATGTGTGTGTAAGAGTTGCCTGGACTAATCTTCTGTCTCAATATTTTAATGCTGAAATGATAAAGATTCGTGTGTGAGCTTTAGTGAGACACTCTTGTATCTTAATAGCCCAGGGGAATCATTTTCTTTGGAGAATCATTTTTCTAAAATTAGCTCTTGTCACAGATCTGAGACACACTCAGTCTGCAGGAAGAAGAATCCTCCCCCAGCTGGAATTCTTCCGTCTCCTGCCAACCTCTTACAAATGGTCCCTTTCCTTCTTCATTTTTTATAAATGGGAGACAAGTCTCTAGCATGCTGCATGTGGAGAGTGGAGTTCATCTCCCTCCTCTCTCAGTTCCAGCCCATTCTTAAGCCAGTGTCCAGAGAGCAGAAAGAAAAAGGACAGCTGGGTCAGCTGAGCTTGGGGCCATGGACAGCAGCCCCCATTCTCTAGAGCAGGCTTTGTCAAATCTTTGTCCTGGAGAGGCTCCTCCTGAGGCTGGCAGAGCCTCTTCTGGTGACCCTGGTCTCTGACTCTGGATGGATGTGATGATGTAGCCTAATCTGCTGAGCTAGGAGGAAGGGCTCTGCTGGGATGGACAGATCCAAATGACCTCACCTGGCAAAGGCATGAGTCTAAAGCGCCGGTCCTAGGGAGACCAGCTATTTAAAACTGAGAATGCTTCTTGCTCCCTGAGGGGAAGAACCACATCTTATTCATCTTGTATTCAGAAAACCAGGTGAGGTGGCAGGGGAGGTTCCTAATCAATATTTCAAAATAGATGAAATAAATGATTGGAATTAATAAAAATAAATGGGAAAATGTATGGCACTGGGGTTGTCCACATGGGATTCTGGTTGGTTGCTGAGAGCGTCTGTGTTTTGCTGTGCTTCCTGGCCTGTTATTAGTGTCTGGCTGGCTCCAGACAAATGTATGAAAACCTGCTGGGTGCAAGGTTGCTGGATGGCCAGGCTATGGGATGGCTGGGCTGTTGCATGGTCAGGCTGCAGGATGGTTAGGCCACTAGATGGCTAAATTGCCTGCTGGTTAGGCTGGTAATTGATGGCTAAGCTTCTGGGTGGCTGGATTCCTGGGTGACTGATCTTGTGTCCTTAACAGAGTTTCAGCTCTAGTCAGGGCAGTGGT